AAGGCTAGCACTCTACCACTTGAGCCACAGTGCCACTTCCAGCTTTTTTCTTTTTGCTTATGTGGTGCTGAGGAATCGAACCCAGGGCCTCTGGCATGCAAGGCATGCGCTCTACCACTGAGCCACCTTCCCAGCCCCAAGGACTAGAGCTTCTTAGTCAACTTGCTGATGCCATTCCTCAATGATGGGGATCTGCTTTGTTCTCATAGCTCCATGTTGCTCCCAGGGCCCACTGACCACCCTCCCCCAGGGACCCCTCCTGGTTCTCAGGAAAACCTCACATCTGACCTTATCTGAATGTGCAGGACTGCTGCATAATACCCCAAACGAGTTTGCCCCATAAATCCCAAACAGGACAGTTTGTGCCATAAACCCCCAACAGGACAAGACAAAGAAATTCCAAAGAAGAGTTTCACCCTAGAATGTATAAAAACCTAGCCTTCTCATCTCTACTCCCACTTTTTGTGTCTCCAACCCTGCTTGGTGTTTCATGGAGCCCCTTTGCAGCCATGATTAAAGTCTACGCCCCTCTGCTGTTTCCTTCTTTCATCCACTTGATCTCTCCTAACACTCGTGACTCAGTTTCCTAACAAAGACTTACTTTTTTTTTTTCTACATTGAGGATTGAATTAGGGCTGCGTGTTTGCTAGACAAATGCTCTTCCACTTAAGCTCTTTTGTTTACATTCTGTTTTTTAGAGCAGAGTATACCTCTTGGCTGGGTATTTTTTGAACTTGTAATCTTCTTGCCTCTGCTTCTTGAATAGCTGGGATTATAGGCATGCCCCACTATGCCTATAATTTCACTAGTTTTTTGGTAGAGCCTCTTAGGTTATCTTTCCACTGAGATATTTTCTTTGCTCTTTTAGACCTAGAAGTTTGTGGAAATTAGTTATAATACATCCCCCCTCCCCAGCCAAATACATGCTCAGTATTTTTAAACATATGCATCTGAATATTTATGTATGAATAAAATTAAAGCATTCTGAGCCTTAAAGTTTGAGTTTGAATTTTTAAAAGGGAGGTCAAATCCATTCACATTGCTCCCCTAAATCATTTTAAAGCACACTACCTCCACTTTAACTCTGGTTTTCTCATAGTTGGGAGAGCCAGAAACCCAAAGGATTCTGGGAATGAAGTCATTTCAACAGATTGCATTCTTATCTTTTTGTTGTTGTTGGCTGTGGGGCTTGAACTCAGGGCCTGGGTACTGTTCCTGAGCTCTTTTGTTCAAGGTAAGTGTTTTACCATCTTGAGCCATGGCTCCACTTTCAGTTTTCTGATGGCTAATTGGAGATGACTCTGATAGACTTTCTTGCTTGGGCTGGCTTTCAACTGTAAATCCTCAGATCTCAGATTCCTGAGTAGCTAGGATTACAAGTATGATCCACCAGTGCCCCAGCTCCTGTCATTCATTTTTAAGGACTAGATTTTGAATATGAGAGCAAAGATACAATATTTGTCTTTCTCAGTCTGGCTCATTTGTCATACATAATAATCTCTAGTTCCATCCATTTACCTGCAAATGATGTAATTTCATTTCTTTATGGTTGAGTAAATAATTCATTGTGTGCACACACACACACACACACAAACACACACACACACACACATATATATATATATTACATTTCCTTCACCCATTCATCAGTTGATGGGTACACAGAGTAGTTCCGTATTTTGGCTATGGTGAATAGTTCTGCAATAAACATAGGTGTGCAAGTATCTTGACTGTATGCTAATTAGTATTTCTTCAGATGTATCTCCAGGAGCGGTATAGCAGGATCATATTGTGGTTCTATCTTTAGTTTTTGTAAGGAACATCTACACTGATTTTCATAGTTGCTGCATTAATTTACATCTCATTAACAGTGTGTAAGGGTCCATTTCCCCTGACACTCTTGCCAGGCTCTGTTATTTGTTTCTTTTGCTGATGGTCATTCTGACAGGTGTGAGATGGTTTCTCAATGATGTTTTTATTTGCTTTGCTTTTATGCCTATGATGTTGGTCATTTCTTCATGTATTTACTAGTCAGTTAGACTTCTTTTGGAAACTATTCAGTTCATTTGTCCACTTATTAATTTGGGTTGTTTATTCTTTTGGTTGTTTATTGTTGAAGCTGTTTGTGTACTCTGGTTATCAATTCTTGATCTAATGAATAGATGGTAAATTTTTTCCATGCTGCAGATTTTTGTGAGACAAGTAATTGTTTACTTTGCTACAGAGATGTAGTCCCATTGTTTAATTCTTGTTCTTATTTTATGAGCAACTGGGGTTTTATTAGGAAAACATTACTTGTGCCTGAATGTTCAAGTGAGTAGTGAGGATGTAAGTGCGAGCCACTGGTGATTGGCAAGGTATTTGATAGTTTAAATTTTTTTATTATTATCTTTAAGTAATCGTACAAAGAAGTTCCCATTCTACAAAACAGTATATGAGTACAAAGTGTCTGACAACATTGTCACCCATCTCTCGGTACTTGATAGTTTTGAGGCTACTGTGAATGGGATTGTTTTCCTGGTTTATTTCTCTGTTCATCATCAATCTATAGAAAAGCTACTAACTCATTTTGGTGCCAGACTTGGGGCTTGAACTCAGGGCTTAGGTGCTGTCTCTGAGCTTTTTTTGTTCAAAGCTAGCACTCTACCACTTGAGCCACTGCTCCATTTCTGACTTTTTGTACTTAACTGGAAATAAGAATCTCATTAGACTTTCCTGCTTGGGCTGGTTTTGAACTGTGATCCTCAGATCTTATCCTCCTGAGTAGCTGGGATTACAGGCATGTACCACCAACACCTAGCTACTAATTCTTTTAATGTTCATTTGTGTCCTGTTATTTTGCTGAAGGTGTTGATTGGATCTAAGAGTTTTTTTTGATAGAGTTTTAAGGTCCTTTAAGTATAGGATCATATAAGAAATGGAGGCATGGCTGAAGGGTAGAGCTCCAGCCTTGAGCAAAAAAGCCCAAGGAGCCGGGCACTGGTGGCTCTTGCCTGTAATCCTAGCTATTCAGGAGGCTGAGATCTGAGGATCACAGTTCAAAGCCAGCCCAGGCAGGAAAGTCTCTGAGACTCTTACCTCCAATAAACCACTAGAAAACCGGAAGTGGCACTGTGGCTCAAGTGGTAGAGTGCTTGCCTTGAGTGGAAGAGCGCAGGGACAGCGCCCAAGCCCAGAGCTCAAGCCCCACAACCAACCAAAAACAGAAAAAAAAAGCCAAAGGACAACACAATGTCCCGAGTTCAAGACCTGCCTCCCCGCCCCCTCATGTAATCTCTATATAGGAGCAATTTGACTTTTCCTTTCTTGTTTATATTCCTTTTATTTTTTTTCTTACCTTACTGGTTTGGCTCAGAATTGGAGCACTATATTGAATAAGAATGGACAGAGTGGTCATTTCAACTCATTTCTGATTTTTAGAGACACTAGTTTTAATTTTTCCCCACTGAAAGCAATGTTGGCTACAGATTTATCACATATAGCCTTTACTATGTTGAGATATGCTCTTTTATTCTTAGTTTCTTCAAAGCTTTTATTGTGAAGGGGTGTTGAATTTTTGTCCAAACCTTTTTTTTGTACTTATTGAGATGATCATGTGATTTTTGTTCTTGATTCTGTTTAAGACATATATATATATATATATATATATATATATATTTATCAATCTGCTTGAGATCTATTGAATGGGGCTGAAGGGTTCCAGACCACAGCACCTCCTATCTCTGTTATGAGTTCTATGGTGGACATTGTGACACAGGAAAGACCAACCCAAGTGATTTCCATTACTCATTTGTGGATGCTGGTGGAGGGGGCAGGGAACAAGACCTCTTTCCACTCTGGTTTGTAAGCTTAAATAAATGAAATGTCAGCATTTTCTGCATTTATTTTTTCTAACATAAAGACAAGGTCTATGTGTACCAAGAAACAAAGCCAGATGGATAGAGATGAGAGCATTTTAGAAGTGAGAATTTGGGGGCACTGAGACATGACATACATTTTAGTCTCTGGTCCCTAAAGTTCTTCACTGAATGCATAAGGAGTCCAGAATCCTCCCCACTATACAGTCAATTCTTACTTTTTGATTAAAGTATTATTATTATTACTATTATTATTTTGTGCTTGAACTGGGGCTTAAACTCAGAGCTCCTCACTTGGCTTTTTCACTCAAGGCTGGTGCTCTACTACCTAAGCCATACTTCCACTTCTGGTTTTCTACTGGTTAAATGTTTTCTGCGTAGGCTGGCTTTAAACTGGGATCATCAGATCTCAATCTCTCGGGTGACTATTATTCAAAGCATGAGTCATCAACACCAGGCAAGTATTAGCTTCTTATCCATTGTAAGAAGAGACTCTTCTCTAAGATACAGCATGTCAGCTTGAGCCCTAAACAGCCCCACCTCTATTCCCTCTCTACCTCAGATGCTGAGCCTCCTTGAGTCAGTTTCCTTATCTACACAATCAACATGCACATCTCTATACTGCATGGTTGCTGTGTAGGTCAGAGACTTAGGAATATAGTAAATGTGCTATAAATGGTAGCATTATTATGTCAGTAATTTGGTAATATCTCAGGAAGGGCATTGTTCAAAGTTAAAGTGTCATAAGTAGCAAAACAATAAGAGACAGTAAGGCTTTGATAGCAGGAAAATGACATTGGTAAGTCGCTATGACTCGGTATTCTGTGACTGTCTGGCCTTTACTAAGTGGCATTCCTTAGGACAAGTTGGCTTAACAAAGATGTTTTCTCTCTCATTAGTGGGTCCCCACAGACAGTATTAGAGCCATAGATAGCCTCACTATACAATAAATGTAAGCAATGCAGATCAACAGCACTGCCTTCATCGGCAGTAGATTTTTCCAGTCTGGCTCCCTTTCTGGCCTGTCTGGATATGTGTCTAGATCACTTAGCTCCCCACAGACAACCGTGTGGAGAGTTATTTTAGCTGCTATGTTTCTCTGTCAGAGAGAGATCCACACTAGATTTAACAAGCTCTATACTTGGATCTACCACTGGTAATGGATATAAGATTATCTTAGTTTTCAGTTTAGCTCCCTGGGATTGGTTGAATATTGAGAAGTCAACAGAAATACCCTTTATCACCCAGTTAACCTTTCTGAGTCTTTATCCTTGTATAAAAAGTACCCATAGCTTACTGGGAAAAGGATAAGATCAGAATGTATTGGACCTTTAAGAATATTTTCGTACTGTAGTTGATCATTAAAAGGAAGAGATGATTGCTGAGAGTCTATCACACAGAGATTATTGCTGAGAATAAAGCACACAGCAAAGGGTAGAGGAGTGTCACTCACCAGTCACGAACACCTGGGAGCCCTGACCGGATTGATACTCATTAGGCTTCCCATTCTTGAACTTCACACAGTAATAGGTTCCAGCGTCTGCAAGAGAGACTTCACTGATGCGAATGGAGAAATCCGTGTTGCCAGCTTTGCTGGTGTCCGCAGTAGCTTTTACTCTGGGAAAGCGATCATCCTTGAAGTTGAAGATTAATTTCCGATTTGGCCCGGATCCCTTAAACCACGCAACAGGGCCGCTGGGGAGGGTGTCGGGCACAGTGCAACTCAAGGTGACTGTCTCTCCCGTTGATACAGTCTGTGACATCTCGTTCTGTTGCACCTGGGATACTTCCTCTTTGCTTCCTGGAAAGAAACTGAAAATCATTTCTCATTTCCCCTGCTCTGGCTCAAGCCAACCTAGGGAGAACCTGGATGCAGGCCATGGTTGGGTCTCACTCATTATTTCTATGTAGGACACACGTGACTGCCCACACAGTGAGTGAGTATAGAGAGGTCTTGTGCTCTCAGTGGTCCAGAGGACCACATTCACCATCCCATTTCCATTTCTTGGATCCTAACCAAGGCCAGAAGAAGACAGGAGGTGTGGGGACATGATGCAGGGTTAGTATTTATAGACAGAGACCAGTTCTACCCATCCAAGAGCCAGGACTTAAATATGCAGTGCTATTCCTTCCACCCGGGTCCACCCATGAGGATGGGACTGGCCTTCATCTCTTGTGAGAAGGGTGAGAGCTATTGCAATTTGTAGAGAGATCAGTGCTGGAGAGTTGTGAAGAAAAAGGGCATCAAGAAATAGGACAGTTGCGGCCAGGCACCCGTGGTACCTGCTTATAATCTTAGATGCTCAGAAGGCTGAGATCTGAGGATTGATGTTCAAAATAAGTCATCGCTAGGCATGGTGGTACATTCTTATGGTTCCAGCACTTGAGAAGCTGAGGAAAGAGGATTGTGTTTGAGGTCAGCCTGGGCTAAAACAGTGTCATAAATACAATGAGTAAGCCAGGCATCAGTGGCTCACACCTGTAATCCTAGCTACTCAGGAGGCTGAAGAGATCTGACAGTTGTGGTTTGAAGCCAGCTCAGGCAAGAAAGTTCACGAGATTCTTATCTCCAGTTAAACGCTGAAACAAAACAAAACAAAATCCAGAAGTAGAGCTGTGGCTCAAGGTAGAGTGCTATCCTTGAGGAAAAAATAAAGCTTAGGAACAGTGCCCAGGCGCTGAGTTCAAGTCCTAGGATCTGCACAAAAAGAAGAGAAGAAGAAGGAGGAGGAGGAATAAGCCTACTAGCCTTTTAGGTCTGTTTTCCTTCGGTCTATACTGCACATTAACCATGTGTAGTTACATGTGCGTAGTTAGTATACTTTTGTTTGGAAACTTCTCATCTCCATGTCTTTGGGTCCTGGAAGAAGAGCCTCTGACCTGTCCATGTGGCTTGACACAATGTTTGACATGAGGCTGTAGCTTATCAGAAGGGTCGTCTGCGGAGTCCTAGCCTGCAGGGTCCACATGCAGTCATGATGTGATACACAGAAAGGATGTTAAACACGAGTCGGAGGATGGAGCTTACCAAGCTGTACTCACCTTTAATTGACACATAGGTGCCCGGACCAGATCTGAGCTTCACGTCATGATCCCCTTTCTTTAATTTCACACAGTAGTAGGTGCCGACATCCTTGGGTGAGACGTTGCTGATGCGGATGGAGTAGTCTGCTTGATTAGCATTTTTTTTCTTTACTTGGGTTACCCGGGGGAATTGACTTCCGTTGAAACTGTAGATTAACTGTGGCTCTGGCTCGGCATCTTTGAACCAAGAGACGATCCCTTTCGGTGACTGAGGAGGCATGCTGCAGGACAGGATGACGTCGTCTCCAGCAGTGACCGACACTGAGCTGTCAGGCTGGTTCATCTTAAACTCTTCATGTGAAGTTCCTGAAGGATAATCTAGAATCAGCCAGGCATCAGTGGCGCACGCCTGTATCCTAGCTATTCAGGAGGCTGGGGTCTGAGGATTATGGTTCAAGCCAGCCTGGGCAGGAAAATCCATGAGACTCTTATCTGCAATAAATTACTCAGTAAAAGCTGGATGTGGCACCGTGGCTCAAGTGGTACAACACTAGCCTTGAGCAAAAAGAAACTCAGGGACAGCACCTAGGTCCAGAGTTCAAGTCCCAGGACAAGCAAAAAAAAAAATCTAGAATCATCTCTGTTTTTCTGTTTTGTCCCAAAAGGCCTCATTTGAGGGTCTGGTTGTAGATAAAGGTGGGGTCTCATTATATTACCTTTGTTACAGCATTCTGTAAAAGCACCAGTCATAAGACAGTTCTAGTATTTGGTGCCTGTGGGATTAGGGACTGGGGTTGTGTTGGTTAGTAAATAGGTCCTTTATTCTGTCAAGAAATTTTTGAACCTGTTAGTAAATAGATAAATACATTTTTATCAAGTGAAAAATGCAAGGCATAATTTGAGGCAGTTTTTTTCTAGTTGTCTCAGAATTAGGGATATAGCCTCAAGCTAAGGTCTACACAGCATACTCAGAGAGACAGCCATGTGGAAGGCTCTCCCTTGTATATCACATCTGTTGCTGAGAAAGCCCTTTCATCCACTTCTCTCAAAACAAGCCTTGAGGCACACATTTTCAATGGAGTTGATATTTTCCCTACTGGGTGAAAATTGTTTTGTGGAGTGTGAAAATGTCATAGACATTAGAAATGTTTGTGTTTGTCAATAGTCAATCATGTCCAACAAAATCTCTTCCCTTAGCACTTAGTACTTAATTGCTTTTGTTAACTTGTTCTCTCTGTCTGTCTGTCTATGGTATGTATCCTGGTCCTGGGGTTTGAACTCAGTGCATGGGTGCTGTCCTTGAGCTTCCTTTGCTCAAGGCTAAGTAACGCTCTAGCACTTGAGCCACAGCTCCACTTCTGTTTTTTGGGGTAGTTTAATGGCAATAATAGTCCATGTCATGGACATTTCTGCTCGATTTGGCTTCAAACTTCTATCTTCAGATCTCAGCCTCCTGAGTAGCTAGGATAACAGCCACTGTGCACTATTAGGTGTTCTTGAGTATCACACAAGGAACATTGAGTTCAGGCAAGATACACAAAATGTATACAAGATGAATTGTACAACAATGTAGCATTTATTTATAATAACCAGGGTATGGAGATAACCAAAGTGCCCACCAAGAGGTAAACAAATAAAAATGTGGATATTTCACATTTATATCACTTATAGATACCATATTTATATCCTTATATATTCACATTTATGTCATACATATAAGTGTGTGTACAATACTATATATTCATTACTTGTAATACCATGAATGAACTTAGAGGACATTATTGTTAGGAAAATGGAGGAGAATGGAAGGAAATAGGCTGGACTCGATCTTCCACAGGCTAGGACTGTTTATTGAGGGACAGTAAATGATGCAGCCTTCCCTCTGGCTTGAAGGCTGTGTGTGTGGGGGGGGCAGGGCACTGGAGTTAAGGTTTTTATAGGAGCTGAGGAAGGAAGGGGTTACATGAGTTTAGTATAGGGGGTGACTGCAGGTGCAGACAGAGAATAGGGTAAGTAGGCCCTTATCCAAGATATCAGACTTTTTTTTTTTAGTGTTTAGAATCTCTACATCTGTCTTGCCTAGATGAGTTGACCTTCACAGGATACAGTTCTTAATCTTCCAACCTCTTAACCCTTTCCTGGCCTCACAGTTCAGCCTCAGAGCCATACAGGCTAGCTCCAAAACGGAATGTTTACAGCCAGGCTCAGGTCAGATTGCCCTGCCTACCTGGGGTTTTTGCCTGAGTGCCTGGGGTAATAAGGTGGAGATCATATTCCATCTTTAGATACGTTAAATGACTGGGCCAGAAAGGAGAGGCAAGTCCTTCAATTATGCTATGTGAAACAAGCCAGGTCCAGAAGACAGATAATACATGATTCTACTTATATACAGACTCTAAAAAAACTTCAAATCCACATAGAATGGATTTTTTTTTTAACCAGATGTTGAGGATGGTGGTGAAGGAAGTGGGTGGGAAATGGCAGATGTTAGTCAAAAGGCAAAAGGTTCAGTTAGACAGGAGGAATAAGATCTTCTGATTCACTGTACAGCAAAATGACAAGTTAATAGTAATACATTGCATTGTTTAGTTTTAAAATTTCGGGGGGCTTGAACTTGGTTGGAGCTTTGAACTCTTGCTTGTCATTTTTGCTCAAGGCTGATGCTCTACCACTTAAGCCATTGCTCCATTTCTGACTTTTTGCTAGTTAATTGTCAAGCTGGCTTTGAACTGGGAGCTCCGTCAGCTTCCTGAGGATCTAGGATTATAAGCATAAGCCATCTGTGTCCAGCTATTGCGTTGCTTAAAAGAGCGGATTTTATATTTTCATCACTGGTGAATGATAACTATGTAAGGTGATGGGTATATTATCCAGCTTTGATCATTGATGTATACCCATAACACACTGGGTTCCATAAATATATAAACATTATTTATGAATTGAAAACCAGACTTCAAAGACATCAAACTGTAAGCTTTTAAAGGGCTTTATAAGGTCTTCAAAACTGTGGAAAACTTTCTTCTGATTGATTTTGCTTATTCATTGTGTTTGTTTTCTGTTGCTGGATGACAAATTGCCAAAAATGTAGTGGCATATTAACTATTTCATCTTGTATGTATTTTAGTCACATCTTGCCTGTGTCTATTTCAGACTTACCCAGTTCCAATCAAGGAGCTAGCTGGGGCTGTGTTCTTATCTGGAGATTCAACTGAGAAAGGTTCAAAGTTGACTCCAGCAGTTGGCAGGATCGTGGACCTTGTAGTTGTAGAACTGAGACTCTCAATTCCTACAGGCTTCCTTCAGGTCCTGAATATGAGGGGCTTGGCGGAGGCAGTTTCTTTGCATTTTTTGTTGTTGGTCATGGGGTTTGAACTCTGGGCCTGGACATTGTCCCTCATCTCAAAGCTAGCGCTCTACCACTTGGGCCACAGCGCCACTTCTGGTTTTCTGGTGGTTAATTGAAGATAAGAATTTCACCGACTTTCCTGCCTGGGCTGGTTTTGAACCTTAGATCTCAGCCTCCTGAGTAGCTAGCATTACAGATGTGAGCCACCAGTGCATGGCTAGTTTCTTTGCTTTTTGAAAGCCAACAAAAGCACAGGAAAAACTGTACTGTAACGATCCTTCTAGTTGAACATATAATCTCTCCACCTCTAAGTGGAAATTGGGGGCTTCTTTCTTCTCTAAGTGTGAGCCAAGCAGACAGCTTATGGCTAATAGAACCAGAGAAGGGGATGAGCTCATCCAACCAGAAGGAGATGGCACTGCACCACCTGCCTGTGTGTGACACTCCTAGGACCCGTGAGTTATCCCCAGTGGAGTAGATAGCAGGGATGCTGGCTGGATTTGAAGCCTTAGAGGGAGAAGCCACGCTGAGCACACGGATAGATCTCTGAATTGTCACTACATCTTCTGAAGTGAATTCAGGAGGAAGGTGACAGAGAGCTGAGCTTGGAGCACAGAGTTAACAGCATTGCCAAGGTTGGCTCTGGGGATGTGAAGTCATCAAGGTGTGTGGAGCTGAGCCAGGTGGGAATCCCTGTTCCATTTTGTCTGAAATCCTCCAAAGCAGCTGTAGTCCCTGGCAGGGTCCACTCCACTCATGGACTTCTAAGATGGGACTGTGGTCCCAAGTGGATTGTGTGGCCACTCAGACCCCTATTTATGGTCCATTGACCCTCTAGTCCATCATGGGTGGTGGGAGACTGTGCCAGGCCTGGAGAAGCTCAGACTGCTTGGGTTTCTGAGGAAAGGAGGAGGAATAAAGATTTGAAGATAAACCTGCCCTAAGCTGGGCGTCAGTGGCTCACGCCTGTAATCCTAGCTACTCAGGAGGCTGAGATCTGAGGATCATGGTTCAAAGTCAGCCCGGGCAGGAAAGTCTGTGAGGCTCTTATCTCCAATTAACCACCTAAAAACTAGAAGTGGCATTGTGCTTCAAAGTGGTAGAGCACTAGTTTTGGGTAGAAAAGCTTAGGGACAGCGCCCAGGCCCCGAATTCAAGCCCCACCACGGAGAAACAAAACAATGCAGTAGTTGAGCTACCCCTTGTTCTGTCAGAGGCCCCAGCAGTCAGCAGCAACAGAAAGCTTACCTCAGCTATTATAAAAGAAGTTGTGCTGAGGATCTCACCCTCGCCTTTGTTCTGTCCTTCCTGTGGCAGACAGCCTATGGTGAGGAGGGCAGGGATCTCAGTGGGTGTGGCCATATGGGCATGAGAGGGAGGAGCTGCCCGGGAGAAAAATCTCAGTGGTGCCCTTCTCTCCCTTCTGAGTTAGCCTCTGTCTCCTGAGTAGCTGAGATTCCAGGCTTGTTCCACCTTACTTAGCTGAAGAGAGCTTCTTGATATGACAATTTAAGCATGATTTACATGATAAGACCTTATATCTAAAGGGAAAAAAAAAAACCTTCCAAGTCTACTGATTCCCATCTCCCATTCTACTGGTGCTATAAACCCTGGGTAGATTATGAGTACCAAAGATTCAGAATCTGAAAAAATAAAAATTATAACTTGTTCATTACTGTTGGCTTAAAGAATAAAGGCCTCTAGTAGTGAGGGGAAAAGCAAGCAAAACTACAGCCAAAGATATAATGTAGGCACAAGAATTCTGGCCTCCCTTCTCTTTGGCTTTAAAAGGAATTATTTAGTTCAGGTTCAGTAAACTTTTCTCCTCCCCTTCCCCTTCTCTCCCCTTCTCCTTTCTCCCCCTCCCCTCCCATGCACCTCCTCTCCTCTCCTTTCCCCTCCTTTCTCTTCTCTCCTCTCCTTTCTCCTCCCCTTCCCTTCCCTTTCCTTCCCTCCCCTTTCTTCTCCTCTCTCCTATCATCTCCTCATCTTCTCTC